CGCCACCGCGAGACCTGCGGCGGCGGCGGCGCTAACGGCGCCGCCTCGCCCCCCTGCCTCGTCCGCCTCGTCCGCCTCGGCCGCCTCGCGAGCCTCCAGCTCCGCCTCGCGACGAGTGAGGGCCTGCTGCAGCGCCTGGGCAGCCGGGGGGTGGGGGGGAGTTGAGGAGGGGAGTTGTTGGGGCAAGGAAGGTGGGGCAAGGAGGGAGGGGGGGGGGGGGGGGGGGCTTGGTCTGGTGTGGGGACGGCCCGCCTGCAGCGCGCGGAAGTAGTGGTTGAGCCGCGCCGCACGCCCCTCCGCGCCCGGCTCCGCCAGCGAAGCCACGGAGCCGAGTCGCGCCTGCACGAGTTGGAGTTGATACTCACGAGTCACGGGGCAGCGCGAAACGTCCCCAGCACTCCTCTCGGCTGCTCTCGGCTGCTCTTGGCTCCTCTCGGCCCCTCTCGGCCCCTCTCGGCCCCTCTCGGCCCCTCTCGGCCCCTCTCGGCCCCTCTCGGCCCCTCTCGGCCCATCTCGGCTCATCCCGCGCCGAGCGTCGCCAATAAGCCAGGCAGCGACGCAGCGAGAAGCGCGGCGCCCGAGCGGCCGCGTGATTGTCGGCGATCACCACCGCCACCCGCGCCTTCGCCCTGTGGCCCGCGGCGATCCGCCACCTCCCCACGGCCGCCTGCTCGCGTCGCAGCGCCCTTCGCTGCCCCGCCAACCGCACACACGCCGCGGCGGTGGCGCGGTGCTCCGCAGCCGACGCCGAGAGGGCAGCCCAGTGGCGGAGGCCGCGCACGAGAGACGCGCGCGACGCGGCGGCCGACGCCTACACCACCCGCCCGAATCGCGGCTCAATCTCTCGGCCGAATCTCGCGCTCGGCGTGCCGCGTCCCGCAGCCGCGCCTTCCGGCAGAGCGCGCGATCTGAGGGCGGCGCCGCGCGCCAGCGACGCCAGTGCCGCCGTGCCGCCGCCGCAGCCGCCGCCGCAGCCGCTCGGGAGGCGAGCTGCTCTCCCCGCTGCGCTCGGCCGAGAAAGAGCGTCCACGAGGCGAAGGCGGCGGCGCTCGCCCGCCGACCCGCGCGCGCGCGCACGGAGGCGGCGGCGGCGCTCGATGCGGCGGCGGCGCGCAGCACGCGCAGCACGCCCCGCCGCCGCCTCCTCTGCACAGTCACTGCAGCGGCGTGGGCGAGAGCGCAGCAGCGGAGGCTGTGCGTGCGGCGGCTAGCGGCGGCGCTCCTCCAAGCGAGCAGCAGCGCCCTGCGCGGGTCAGAGAGGGGGCGGGCGCGCCGCCGCATCTCGAGGCGGGAAGCAGCGGCCGCCGCCCACAGCCGGAGAGCGCAGCGCAGCCCGTGCGAGCCGGCCGCCTCCCTCTGCCGCTTCTCGGCCAGCCTCGCCGCCGTGCGCTGCACACACCGCCGCCGCCACGCCCGCACCGCCGCGCGCGGCAACACCCGCGACCGCGCTGTTCGGCTGGCGAACGCGCCGGAACGCGCGTCGAGCGCCCAGCGGCCAAAGGCGGCGACGACCGCCCTCTCTCCGCTCTTGCGCCGGGTGAGGGCGGCGGCCTTGCCAGACTCTCTGTCAGAGAACGCTTGCATCCGCCAGAGGCGAAAAGCCGACGCCGCGGCGCGCGATCGCACCGCGGCGGCGGATGCGGCGAGCGCGCGCCTCATGTCGGCGCGCCGACGCGCCTCCACGCGCAATGCGGCGTACGCGGCGGCGAGTGCTGATCCCGCCGCCAGCTGAGTAGCCCACTGGCAAACTGCTCGGCGAGCCGCGTGTGCGCACAGAGCGCGGAGCGCGCGCCGCGGCGCCAGCCGACTGATCTCAGAGTGCGCCGTCGCCGCGGAGCGCGTGCGGGCTCCCTCTCGTGCGGCGGCGAGGCGCCACTCGGCGAGGCTGCGCGCCAGGCGGCGAGCGAGAGTCGAGTGCGCAGCGACGCGCTCCAGGCGAGAGCGCGACCGCCGACGCGCAGCAAACGCCGCCCACGCCTCCACCGCCTGCCTGCAGCGGCCAGCCGGTGCCCAGCGCGGGGTCTGGCCGGCAAGTGGGTGGGACGCGGCGGCGGCGGAGAGGGCTAGCGCCGCCCGAGACGCGCCTTGCCAGCGGCGCAGCGCGCAGCCGCAGGACTGCCGTGCCGCCGCCATCGCCGCGGCAGACGAGAGCGAGATGAGGCGCTCGCTCCTGCGTCCGCTCCGGCGCCACGTGGCAATCGCGGCCGCGGCTCGCCTCGTGCCGAGGCGAAGGGCGAGCGAGTGCGCGGCCGCCGACCGAGCGGATCTCGCGGTGGCGTGCCGCCGCGCCGCCTCCAGCGCGTCGAAGCCGCGAGCGAGAGAGCGACGGCAGAGAGTGTGGTGGGGGGTCGCCTGCTGCAGCGCCGACCACCGGCGCACCGCCCGCCGCACCGTCCACCGCTGGCTGCGCGCAGCCAGCACGGCAGTGAGGCGGCGGCGCGTCTCCTCCCTCTCCTCGAGCAGCATCTGCCCGCTGACAGCCTTCTCCGCCGCCAGCCGCGCCTCGGCCGCGTCCGCCGCCTCAGACATGCGGAGGGCGAGCGCCGCCTCGGCCGCCGCCTGCGCGACCGCCGCCTCGGCCGCCGCCCTCGCCTCGGCCGCCTCGCCCGCCGCCGCACCCGCCTCCTCGCCCCTCGCCACCGCCTTGCGCCGAGACGCCTCGGCCGCCGCCTCTGCGCAAGCCGCAGCGCGCTCTGCGTCTGCCCGCGCCCGCTCCGCCGCCGCCGCCGCCTCGTCCGACTCGTGCAACGCCCCCAGCACCGCAGTCTCCTCCGCCGCGCTCCGCGCCAGCGCCTCGGCCGCCGCGCACGCCGCCGCCGCCGCCGCCGCCTCGCCCTCCCCCCGCAGCGCCTCACTCCGCTCGAGCCGCCGCTTCAGCTCGCCTGACGGGCAGAGTCCGGGAAAAATCCGAGAAGGGTCCACGAACGCGTTCCCCGGCGAGAGCGCCGCTTGCGGCTCACCCACGCGCGCCGCCGCCTCGGCCGTCGCAGCGTGCGACGCGACGCGCTCGCTCGCCAGCGCCGCCCGCGCCTCCTCCTCCGCCTCCTCAGCGGCGGCGGCCCTCTGCGTCTCGATGAGCAGCCGCCTCTCCGCCGCCGCCTGGGCAACCTCCCGCTCCGCCGCAGCAGCGACGACCGCCTCGGCCGCCTCGGCCGCCGCCTCGCGCCGCGCGCGCTCGGCCGCCCCCCGCGACGCCGCCGCCGCCGCCGCCGCCGCAGCCACGCGCCGCGCTGCGTCTGCTGCGCTCGCCTCCGCCCGCGCCCGCGCCCCCGCCTCTGCACGCCTGCGGTTGCGAGCAGGGGGAGGTGGGGGCTGGGAGGGCGGCGTCGTGCGGTGTCTTCCGAGCACCGCCTGAGTCTGCGAATGCTGCAAACACCGCGCCTCGGCCGTGGATGCGGCGGCACACCCCCGCCGTGCGTGTCGTCTCTAGTACACGTCTGGGGGTGCAAAGATCGGTAGCATCCTGGAGCGCGCGCCTCGACTGGCGAAGCTGCCGGCGGAGCAAAGCGGTGACGATGGTGCGAGCGGCTCCGCGCTCCCGCTGCGCCGCCGCGAGTCGCGCCGCCGCCTCAAGCGCGCGCCTGTGCCTCCACGACTGCTCCGCCGCCGCCTCCTCCAGCTCGGCCAGCCGCCGGTGCGCCTACGCGGTGGCCATACTTCGTGGGTGACTAGTGGTCCTCGATCCGCCTCGAGCTCCAGCAGCCGGTGCGCCGTCTCGAGGGCTGCGGCCGCCGCCTCTGCCTGCGGCCGCGGGAGGGGGGGAGGGGGGGGGGGGGAGGGTTAGTCGGGGCCACACCTCGGCCCCACCTCGGCCCGCACCTCGGCCGCATCTCGGCCAAACCTCGGCCAAACCTCGGCCACACCTCGGCCACACCTCGGCCACATCTCGGCCACACCTCGGCCGCATCTCGGCGAGGGGCGCACCTCGGCTCTCTCCTCCGCGAGTCTCGCCCGCCCCTCCTCCGCCTCAGACGCTGCGCCGTCCGCGGCGTCGGCGGCGTCGGCGGCGGCGTCGGCAGCGGCTGCCTCGGCCTCTCTCAGCGCGGCGCCGAGGGCGGCTGCCGCCGCCTCGGCTCCCGCATGCGCGAGGGCGAGCGCGTCCCGCTGGGCCTCCGCCTCGTGCAGCCTCTGCGCCGTGTCCGCCAGGCAGGTGCCGGCCGACTCGAGCGCCACCTCCGCCTCCCGCCGCGCCGCCTCTGCCGCCTCAACCTCCCCCCTCGCCCGCACCGCCGCCTCCCTCCCAAACGCCTCCGCCGCCGCCTCCGCCGCAGCCGACCGCCGCGCACCCTCCTGCGCCTCCTCCCGCGCCTCCCGCGCCTCCCGCCGCGCCGCCTCCTCCGCCGCCCAAAACTCGTCCCCCAGCAGAGCCGCCTCGGCAGCCAGCCTCCGCCCCTCTTCCTCTGCAGCGGCAACCGCCGCCTCCGCGCGGCGCGCAGCCGCGTCGGCAGTCGCCGCGGCGCGCCCGGCCTGCACGCCGATGGCGAGGAGTGCGGTGAGCAGTGGAGGCGGTATGTCAGAGCCGGAGAGCGAACGAAGAGGCAACGGGCAGGGGAGGGGCAGCGGCCGAGAGGCAGAGGGCGAGGAGGCGAGAAGAGGCAAGCGAGAGGGGAGGGAGGTGATTCGGGAGAGGGGAGCGAGGGCGTAGAGGGCAGGGATGGCCTCCGCCTGCTCGGCCCGCCTCTCCATCGCCGCGGCGCGCGCATTCGCCTCCCCCTCGGCCGCCTCGGCGACGGCCGCCGCAGACTCTGCGGCAGCCGTCGCCGCGACGGCGGCCGCGCGCGCGTCGGACGACGACGCCGCCTCGCTCGCCGCAACCTCCGCCGCCGCCGCCGCGTCCTCGCCGCGCCGCGCCGCTGCCGCGAGCCGGCCCTCGGCAGCCTCCGCACGGGACGTCGCGTCGGCGGCTGCGGCTTCGGCGCGCCCCATCCGCAAACTCAACGCCTCGACCGCCTCCTGGTGTTGCAGCGCCGCAGCAGCAGCCTCCTCGCCCGCCTCCGCGGCGGACTCGGCGGCCGCCCGACGCGTCGCCGCCGCCGCCCGCGCCTCCCCCTCCGCCCTGCGCCGCTCGCGCTGCGCCGCGTCGCCCGCGGCCGCAGCACACGCCTCGGCATCGCACAGCGCGGCTCGCAGCGCGTTCAACTCGACACCGCGCACCGCAGCGCCTGCCGCCTCGCTCTCCCTCCGCTCCCGACGGGCGCGTGCGGCAGCCGCCGCGGCGAGCGCCTCCGCCTCCGCCTCCGCCTCCGCCACCGCACCCGCGAGGGTCGCCACCGCCACGCCCCGCTCCGCCCTCTCCGCCTGCACCGCCGCCGCCGCCGCCTCCGCCATCGCCGCTGCCCGGTGGGCACGCTGCGCTGCCGCCGCCGCCTCGCCCCTCGCGTCAGCGGCGGCTCGGATCGCCGCGTCGCGCTCCACGCCGAGCGCGGCCGCCGACGCCTCCGCCTCCAGCCGCCTCTGCCGCTCCGACTCTGCCGCCAGGCAGCCCGCCGTGTGCGCAGCCTCGGCAGCGCGAGCCGCCGCCGCCGCGTCGCCGTCCGCGTCGCGGATGCTTCGGCTCGCGGCCGTCACCTCGGCCGCCGCCTATGGGGAGGCTCCAAGCGGGGTCCCGAGAGGCCTCCGAGAAGGCTCGCGACCCCTCGGCCGCCGCCTCCGCCGCAGCTTCGAGGGCGTCTGCCCTGGCCGTTGCGGCCGCCGCCTCTGCCTCTGCCGCCCTCGCCGCTGCCGCAGCCGTCCGTGCAGCCTCCGCCTCCGTCTCGGCGCGAGCCGCGGCGAGGGCGGCGGCCGCCTGCCTCTGCGCCTGCGCGAGGGCCGCGGCGTGCGCCTCGGCGGCGGACGACGCCGAGCGGACGGAGCGGCGCTGCTCGTCAAGGGCGGCGAGCAGCTTGCGCCTCTCGCCCTCGAGCTCCCGCCGCAGCGCCTCCGCCGTGGCGGTGGGCGAGGCGCCGCAGCCGCCGCCGAGCAGCGGCGAAGGCAGCGCTGGGGCGGCAGTCCGACTTGGACCCGTCGGAGTCACCACACCGCACGCCGCCGCCATCGCCTCGGCGGGCCCAGCTGCACGTGCGCAGCTCGCGACGCGGCTCGCGCGGCCCGCGATGCCGGGCGATGCGGCTGCCGAGGAGGCGGCGGCGGCGGCCTGCGCGCTGGCGGTGCGAGCGGCTTTTGCCTGCGCCATCCGCTCGTCCCACGCGGCGTCGGCGTCGCGGACGGCGGAGAGGAGCGTGTCGCGCCGCGACTCTCGACGCGCGAGGCCGCTCACATCCCGCCAGCGCGCCAGCAGGCGGGCGAGGCGGCGCCGCGAGCGCTGCGCCTGCGCCCGCGACGAGAGCCGCCGCCAGACGAGCTGCCGCCGGGCGTCCTCGACGCTGCGCCGGAGCCAGCCGTCCCACGCGAGGCGGAGCTGCTGACGGCGGGCGGCGGCGGCGTCGAGCGGCGTGATCTGGGCAGCGTCGAGGCGGCGGAGGGCGGCCGGCAATCGCGGAGCCGGGGAGTAGCCGCTCGGAGAGAAGATCGAGGAGAGTAGATCAGCCATGTGCAGCGAGACACCTGCCTTGAGGTTGGAAACGGCGCCTGTCGTGGCGCGAAAGCACGCCGTTTGGCGGTTGAATTGAAGAAAGATTCGAAGTTACCCCCTAAAAACCACATCATCAGAGAGAGAGAGAGAGAGAGAGAGAGAAAAACCGCCAATGGCCGTTATCCGTTAGTGCGGACGTCGCCGCGGCTCGCCTCTGCCGCGGCGGCTGCTGCGCGCACGCGGCGGCGCCGCTCTCTCGCGAGACGGCTGGCGACGAGGCTCGCCGCCGATGTACGGTGCGCTCGTCCGACGGTCCGCAGCGTGGCGTGCGCGGCGCTGAGCGCCGCTCTGCGAGCGCCTCTGCGCCTGCACTGCCTGTCTCTGTTGCTGTTGGTGGTGGTGGTGCTGCTGCTGCTGGTGCCGATGCTGCTGCTGGCGCGGCGCGGCTGTGCGACTGGGCTCGACGCGCGCGTCGCGAGCGTCTGACGCGGCGGGCGGCGTCGGGCAGGTGCGCTTCTCTCTCGGGTGGTGGTGGTGGTGCTGCTGCTGCTGGTTGTGGTGCAGATGCTGCTGCTGGTGCGGCGCGGCTCTCCGACGCGACTCGATGCGCGCGTCGCGGCTATCTGACGCGGCGGGCGGCGTCGCGGGCGGCAGCGGTGGCGGCTCGCGGGTGGAGGTGGAGGCTGGTGGCTGTGGTGGACTTTGAGTTTATTTCATGGTCGTGTACGGGGACCGGGGGGTCAACCGGGAGGCAGGGGGTTCAACCGGGCGACGGAGGACCGTGGGCCATCGCGAGGACTGCTGCGTACGGAGGACGCGGCAGATAGATCCGGATGGTCTCACCCGGTGGGAGGCACCGAGGCGTCTTGGACGCTCAGCTCTACCTTAAGCTCCTGAGGGGCGCGTGGTTGTAAGTAGTATGACTACAACCCACCACAGACACCCTCCCCCACTCCTCACGTGTGTTCACACCCTCACCCTCTCCTCTCTCCTCTCTCTCTCTCTCTCTCTCCTCTCTCTCCTCTTGTCTGTGCTGTCTGCCTGACTCAGGCACTCAATCTGCCGATGCGTGATTGTGTGTGGGCTGCTCCGAGGGGGCCCTCTGTGCGATCCGACGGGTAGGGGGGCTGTGCCCGGGCGGTGTCCGGTGTGGAGTCCCCTTCTGATCCCGCCTGGGATGTTGGGTGTGAGGTCGTGGAAGCTTCGATCCCAAGGGGGGGAGCCGAGCCCACTCAATAACCAACTCTCAGGGGCAGTAGGTGGGCGAGCCTCGAGCGCGCTCATCTCGATCGTCAAGACGTTGCTACGCGCGGTCTTCCGCGGGGGGAGCTGCGTCGACGGGTGCGGGACCGCGGCGCAGCCAGTGCCGTGGCGATGCCTCCGGCTGTTTGCGGCGGGCGGCTTGCTGCTCGCTGCGATGGCGAAAAACTCGTCTCGCCACACGCCAAGGGCTTATGCTCTGGCGAGACGTGAGGCGCATGCGCCCAGGAGGGGAGGGGGCATGTGTAACGACACTGCTAGAGATGCCTTTCGGGGCCCAGAGATAAAACTTCTGTGATGCCATGCGTGACCTAGTAGTGTCCCCAGCTATGGGCGTGTCCACGTTGGAGCCAGGTGTGGTGTGGGCGCGAGAATAGCTCCGCCGTTCATGGAGGCAACCGATGCGAGTCGACTGGTGTGTGTCGTCGTGGTTTCGTATCAAGAATTCTCTCTCCACATCATCACCACCACCACCACCACCCACCGCGAACACCACCACCACCACCACCGATTATTGACCACCACCGCCAGACCACTTGAACGCCGTGCGTGGGGCTCCTGGCTCCTGCCCGTGTCCGGGTGTGGAGATGCGAGGGTTGGGGGGTTGCCCCTCTTTATACCTACACGATTTTTTTTGACGGCAGGGGCGGTCATGGCCGTCAACGACGCACCGCCGCCGCCGCCGGGCGTCATCCGCTACCGTCAGCTGTGGGTGAGCGACGACGGCGTCACGCACCTCGCCGAGCGCCGATTCGGAGATTGTGTGCCACATTTCTTGTTGGCTTCTAAAAATCTCTCCGATTCGGAGGGCTGGAGACGATCGATGGACTTTAACCAGCATCACCACCACCACCACCACCACCACCGCGCGACCACCACCACCACCGACCACCGACCACCACCACCAGACCACTTGTGACTTGAACGCCGTTCACGTGGGGCTCCTGGCGCCTGCCCGTGTCCGGGTGTGGAGATGCGAGGGTTGCCCCCCCTTGCCCCACCGCTCTTTGTGTGTGTGGAGAACTTTACCTTACCTTACCAGACGTCCAGACCACCACCACCCACACCACCACCACACCTGCACAGTCATGGCCAAAAGCCCAAAACTCTGGCAAAATAAATCATGAATGGGGCAAAATAAATCATGATGGGGCACCGAGTGGAACACCCTGAGGGAGGCGGTGTAGAGGATGTAGAGATGTAGAGCGCTGTAGAGTTGTAGAGATGTAGAGCGCTCCGGAGCGCTGTAGAGCTGTACAGCTCTACATCCGCCGCGGGACGAACTGCCTGCGTTGTAGAGCGATGTAGAGCGCGATTTTGTTGTAGAGTTTGTTGTAGAGGCGCTCTACGCCAAACCGCCGGGAAGGCAGTGACTCAAAGAGGTCGAGTCGCACTAATGGGGTGTCTCCGAGCTTACTGGAGCTCTGGTGGACGGCCCTGACTATCCCTGACACACAGAGAGTCACTCTGACGGCACACAACTCACCCTATAACTGCGTCATGACCAGCCTGCCATGCGTCGCTGGTGCCGCATTCGTCGCAGTGCTCCTTTAGCAGGCGGTGGACTGTCGGCTGCGAGGACGGTCGCATTTGCGCGAGGCGAGGCGAGCATTCAGACGCGTTGCATGCGCCATGCCTCGCGCCAGCGCGTGCGGGAGCTCCTGGCTGAGCGTTGAGTCCAGGCGAGTTGCGCTGGCCACTATCGCTACGCCGAGCCGAGCTGACGCGCCGAGGCGCCGGCCAGTCGCGGCATGCCACAGCAGCAGCGGCACCTGCCACCCATTGGGCGGGCAGATGCTCGACGCGGCTCAGGCGATGAGCAGCGTGGTTGGCGCCTTCTGCTCCGGATCGAGATTGGCTCGCATCTCCCAGATCTGCGACGACCCGGAGATTGAGTGCGACATCCACGCCACGTACCAGCAGAAGATCATCAGCTCGCGGCCTGCGTACGAGGTCAGCCCAGATAATCCAGCCTTCAGCCGAGACGTAGCCAGTGTGAGGTGCGACTAGTCGTGCAGTTTCAGAATCGAGGTTTTTTCGAAACCAAAAATCAACCGTTGAGAGTTGAGCGAGCTGTCACAGCCAATCTGTCCGCCCCGCGCCCCGGTCACCCTCAAGGGGGTAGCTCGAGGGGGTCAGATGACTTGTATCTGAGGTGAAGATGTGGCTCCAGAGATGTATATAGAGGGAGCGGACCGTGAGTTGAGGAAATCGAGGGACGCGACCCACTTCGCCACAGACGGTCCCGCGCCTCGCCCCTAAGACGGGTACACGACCGCGGCTCGTGTGCGTGTACCCGTCTTTGTCCGGAGTGAAAAGTCCAACGCGCTCGTCGGTGACGGCTTCCCTCAACCTGCGCCGCGCTCGGCGAACCTCGACAGCGCTTTCGGTGGCATGCAGCTCTTTGCGACAGAAGCCTGGAGAGCAGCTCCTCTGCTGCTCACACACTCTGCACAGTTGACACAGCCTATTGTGCGGCTGCCACAGCTGTGACAGCGATGGGCTCGCCCTCACTGGCCCTCAGTCACTTGTGCTGCGGCTTGTGTGAGCGACACTGCTCGGCGACTGCCGGCACACTGTGAGACCATGGGTTTGAGGTTAAACCACGCTACCAGCGCTTGGTCACATCGGCCCCGAGGTCAGATCCTTCTACTCTGTTGATGACAAGACTTGTCTACTGGCTGGAGCCGAGCAGGAGGGCCCAGCGCACAACCCCTGGTCAACTCTCAGGGGGTCCACACCCCGTACGCATCTTAAACTACGGATGGTCTATGTATGGGTATGTGTGCACCGGCAACAGTCTGTACGACCGCTGAACCACCTTGTAGCCCTCGCGCACAGCCATCACTGCAGCCGCGCCGCTGCCGCCCCGCATGCCGCCCTCCCCGCCCCATCGCCATTTGTGCCACTACGTACATGAATGAGCTCCGTAACCTTGGGGCGACAATGAAGAGAGGTATACGGTACAAGCCGTTTCCGTGGCAACACTTATAGCAGGTAGAATTCACAGGCTTCTGATCTTTAGAGCGACTTTTTGCCACGAATCCACCGTGTCACATCATTGAGACCAGCATCGAATGCACTGCGCATCTCTGGGGTGGGCTCCTGGTTTTGCTTCTGCGATGTTTGCTTCCAGTCGGTCAGATCATTTGCATCGAGCTCGCCCAGCGCAAGCGGTATCTCAAAGGCGTGGTCTTCAATCGCGTACAGAGCCACCAGCACAGACTCCTCGGCAAGGCACTTGGTGATGTAATTCGACGCGCAGTTGCGTAGCTTTCTTCCGACAGCAACCACTTCACTCGACTCTGATAGGAGGCGGAACGTGAAATTACCAACAGAAAAGTTCGGTGCGTCAGCTAGCCATTGGAATGGCACGCTCTCCTTACCTTCGCGCACCCGCGCCTGCGCCTCTAACAGCACGTCTAGTTGGTTAAACAGTACCCTGGGGTGCAGTTCCAGCCACTGCAACGCTTGCTGTTCGTCGTCCTCCAGCACGGGGCCGAGGACGCCTGCTGCAATCTCTTCCAGTGGCCCAAGATTACGGAGCTCATCCATGCGGTTAATAGTCGCTTGATGCACATTGAAGTAGTCATGGTAGCGGATGAGGTACTGCACATGTGGTGGCACCTCCTCACCTTGCAACTGGCAAGAGGAACGATTTGTAAAAAAAAGGAGAGACTTGGCGGGCGAAGCAAGCAGCGGCCACAGAACAGCTAATTCAACGTACGTCCATACACCCAAGAAATGCCATCGCCGCCGCCGCCGTCCGCCTCGCCCTCGCCACCGCCTCCCTCGGTGGCAGCGGCGTCCAGCTCTCCGCCACTGTCCTCATCCCCGTCAATGGACTCGACCTCGAACGCATGCGCGACGTCGAGCGCGCCGCCCGGGGTTGCCTCCTCCACCCGAGCATGCAGCTCATCCTCCGTCACATCCACAGCTGACCAGCAGTCCATCGTGCAGGTACAGTCGTCGCGGGCAGGTAAGCGACGGGCAGGTGCACACGGAAGCCGCAAAAATCACACGGAAGCCGCAAAAATGCACACCGAAGCCGCAAAAATGCACACCGAAGCCGCAAAAATGCACACCGAAGCCGCACTTCGCAAATTTGCAAAAAAAACCATAAGAGTGACACTCTGGATTTCGGGTGACACAGGTTGCATGGAATACAGGCAACCCGCGGGGGGGACGGTGCCCGGGGAGTTCTACAGAACTCGCCCCTTGCATGCAGGCGCATGTTGAACACATTCTTTCACTGCATTACGATGCATTCTATGCATGCATTACACTGCATGCAACCACTGAGTGCATTCGGCTGCATTAATTGGTATTGCGTGCTTGGTCGCATCTAGGTGCATTGCGATATACAGCGCATGCAGAGCTCATCTCGCTGCATTGTGCAGGGCAGGAGGTGAGGAAATGATCACGCATGACAACCCCCAACACGTCCCAGGGTCCCAGCTTCCCATCCACATCCCGCGGTCCCGACTCCCCTTACACTCGGACGGCCTGCCATAATCCCAAGCAATCGATCCACGCACCCTCAGTTAACGGCGTCCGTCGTGGACGGGGCAGGCGCGACCTTCGGCGTCTTCGCAGGGTTCTGAAGGTTCGTCTCCGCGTTCCCGATGGAGCTGCTGACGGCGGGCGGCGGCGGCGTCGAGCGGCGTGATCTGGGCAGCGTCGAGGCGGCGGAGGGCGGCCGGCAATCGCGGAGCCGGGGAGTAGCCGCTCGGAGAGAAGATCGAGGAGAGTAGATCAGCCATGTGCAGCGAGACACCTGCCTTGAGGCTGGAAACGGCGCCTGTCGTGGCGCGAAAGCACGCCGTTTGGCGGTTGAATTGAAGAAAGATTCGAAGTTACCCCCTAAAAACCACATCATCACCACCACCACCACCACCCACCGCGAACACCACCACCACCACCACCGATTATTGACCACCACCGCCAGACCACTTGAACGCCGTGCGTGGGGCTCCTGGCTCCTGCCCGTGTCCGGGTGTGGAGATGCGAGGGTTGGGGGGTTGCCCCTCTTGCTACCTACACGATTTTTTTTGACGGCAGGGGCCGCACCGCCGCCGCCGCCGGGCGTCATCCGCTACCGTCAGCTGTGGGTGAGCGACGACGGCGTCACGCACCTCGCCGAGCGCCGATTCGGAGGGCTGGAGACGATGGACTTCACCTCGACAGGAGGAGACGCGGCGATGCAGTACGTGCGTGCCTTCTCCAGCACCGACGACTTTTTGCTCACCGGCCTCGTCATCACCCAGCAGGTGGGTGAGAACCCGTGGCACCACTGCCCGTCGCCCCAGTTTGTGGTGACGCTGGACGGCTCGTTGTACATCAGAACGTCCGATGGAGAGGTCACCACCTTCTCCAAGGGGGATGTGCTGTACCAGGACAACTCGGCCGCCCACCCGCTGGCGGCGCGCGGCCCCAGCGGCGGAGCGCCCCGCGGAGCGCAGCACTGGAGCGGTGCGCAGGGCGGGCCCTGCAACCAGCTCGTACTGGGCGTGGCGCCAAAGGTGTTCCCTGCAGCCGGGCCGGGCGCGTGGTGAGGCTGTTACGTTCGCTGTTTTTGCTTGTCTTACCGGATGCCGATGGAAAAGACTTAATTATTGGTCGGCGGCACACCGCCGAGATGCTGTGCTCACACACCTCACACGCGCTCACCACAGACCGGCACTAGCTGTGACACAAGCGACGATAGCGATGGAACATGGGATCGGCAGCTCTAGCTGCCGGCAACCTCATGCTCATCAGACGTAGGAACGTACACCTTTGCCTCTCATGTACCAAACCTAGCGCCACAAATTGTCAACGGCCGCTCCGCCTGCTCCGTGCTCGCCGCTCCCACCGGCCGCACTGGCCGCTCGGGCGGCAGCACGCGCTCGCTGCAGCTCCCGCCCGTATTCCTCGCCGATGCCGATGATGCCTGGAAAGCGCGGCTTGCCGTCGCCCAAGGGGGCGGCGAACCTGTTCACACGACGCGCTGTGAAAGGGCGCCGCTCACGCGAGGAGGCCGCCTGCGCGAGGGCGAGTCGCGCTTGAACGTGACGGTGGTGCCGGAGGGGATGGGCTTCGCCTTCCAGTCCCAAGAGCACGAGAAGACCGTGCCGGGAGTCACCCTGCAGTCGGAGCTGTTCCCGATCACTTTGAGGCGCAGCGAGGCGCGCACAGAGGTGCCGTCGCCCATGTTGGTGCCCAGCACCTCCGCCTCCGCGTCCAGCCACTCCTTCACCTTGAGCACATCGCGGGAGCGGCCCCTTCGGTGCCGCGACAGCGCCCGCCGCAGCACGAGCCCCTCGCCGCCCTCCGCCAGCACCGCCTCCATCAGCCGCTTCACGACCGCCTCCTCCTCGCACCGGACCGCGCCAACCACGAAACAGCGCGCCGCCGGCGGCGCACGGGCCGGAGCGAACGGTGGCGTCGGCTCGAGACCTCGCGATCGCGCGACGGCAGCGATCGCCTCGTCTGCCGCCGCGAGGCGGGCGAGGAAGCCGCCGGCCACTTCGGGCGCGTCGTACACCGCGAAGGAGACCCCGTCGAAGTCGGACCAGACCTTGCTCACGGCGGAGAAGCAGCCGCGCCCGCTCCACAGCTCTCCGTCGAGCTTGAGGTCGGTCGGCAGCAGGGAGGCCAGCTCCGGCGGAGGCTTCACCCGCCGCTCCGCCCCGCCCTGGATGCCGCGCATGCGAAACACGGTGCCGTCCCACAGCGAGCGGAAGCCGTCAAACTTCTCCATCGCCACGAAGCCGCGGAGGTTGTCGACGCCGGGCCGGAGGGCCACCGCGAGGGCAAAGATGCCGCACCTCTCCTCGCGCGCCTTATCCACCTTCCACCGCTGGTCTTGCTTGTGAGCCTGCGAGACGGTGGAATCCGCCGCCTCGAGGTTGCACGGCGTCTCGTAGATGGTCACGCCACGATAGGTCGGCTCCAGGTTCACCGCGTACTTCGCCGCCTGGGCGTCCCACCGCACCGCTGTCCCGTAGCTACCAGTGCGCTGGGGTCCGATGAACTTCACGCGCTGGTGCAGCAGATCGCCGGCCGCCCACGAGGAGTCGAGCGTGCACTCAAAGCTCGACGACGAGCCGCCGCTCGAAGCCGCCACGAAGCTGCCGTTCAGGAAGCAGCTAGTCCGTCGCATCCCCTCTTCCGGCGCTGCGCCCGCGCCCGCCCCTGGGCCTCCGCTTGCTGCTGCTGCGGCTGCCGACGACGATGCTGCCGCCGACGATGCTGCCGCCGGCCGCGGTCGCGCCGCCACCTTTTGAGCGCACCATCCGTCGTCCGAGTCGTACTCGCCGGCGCGGACCAACTTCCTCTCTGGGACAGCAAGCCGCTTGTCTGAGGGCTCACCGCCGGTCTCCAGCCTGAGGATGCACCGCTCGCCGACAGTCTCGACGGTCGCCTCTCTCCCGTTCAGCTCTTGGCCCCTTTCCGAAGTGAGGCCAAAGATTCGGACGACGTCGCCGGCGGCGAGCGCCATGCGGCTGCGATCGCAGGTCGGGCGGTCTGCCTGGTGTCAGTCGAGGCGGGCCGGCGCCTGCCCCTGGCTGAAGGCCGGAAAGAAAAACCTGGCCGCGGCCCCACACTACTTTCGTTAAAATCCCTCTCCGCCAAAACCGCCTGGATTGAATCGGCGCCCACCACCCCGACGGGCGCGCGGCGGCGCGCGGACGGACGTCAAAGGACGGCCGCGAAAACCGCGCAGCGCAAGCAACAACGTGTGTGTTGGCGTGCTCCCCGTGTGCCGTGTCTCTGGCGTTTGTGCCCCGTCCAGGCTGGTCCTGGGCCCCCCAGGTTTTATTTTTATGTTGGACGGCCGAAAGAAGACGACGCTCACCTCATTGAGATGCTGCTGCTTTGGCACCTCCTGATATAATGCTGAGCGGGGCGGAGGCCCAGTGAGGTAGTGCATCTGACTATCCCGGATCCTGCTGAACAAGCTCCTCTTGTAGCTCAATCGGTCACACCGCCATCGCCGTCGGGGAGAGGGGGGACGACACTGCTTCGGCAGCGTGCACCTCGATCCTGGGCGCGCGGAAGGTGTGCAAGCGAGCTGGCGGCTCCTGGCAGACTGGCAGCGACACGTGCGCGCTGGGGGAGCAGAGCTGCACGAACCTCTCTGATAAGTTGGTGTCCATCCGGGACTGCTCCGCTACTCTCTCAGGACAAGCAGTTTGGTCCTCAGCCGTGGGCTGGTGGTGCTCGCAGCAGGACCTAGTGTCCAACACGTACCGCCTTTGCGACGTTGATTGATGTGACTGTCACTGTGATGGCATACCTACCACGGGTACCGGCACCGGCGTTGCGTAAGATCGCAGGAACGGCGAATCCTTGCCCCCATGCTCCATGCTTCGTTCGAAGATTTACAGCAAAGGCGCCCACCTACTGCGAGGAGTTGCTTTCTCGTGTGTGTGTGTTAGTACACACAATAATGGGTGGATGCACACTACAAGTCCGCCGAATTTAAGATTTTAGAGGCCGGCCGCAGGCCGGCGATTTTCAGATTTTAGACCAAGATTTTAGAGCTCTGGAGCGCATTTTCGCAAGATTTTAGCTGTAAATTCACACATTTTCAAGATTTTACAGCTCACGGCCGCCCCGCCTTCAAATCTTAAATTCGGCTGACCTGTACTTTGTCCCCAAGCACGAGACCTCGGTACTCGAGTAGGGGGGTACGGGGCCCGGCCGCCAGCGATTGCCGGAGACGTCCGTGAAGCCCAAGCCCACACATGCTGCGCGGCACGCTCGGCGTCTTCTTCTCGCTGCAGGCCGGATCGGCGGTAGCCTGGTCGCGGCTCAATGTGGGCGGCAAGACGCCGCCCATCACATGCGGAGGCGCCAGGATGAGCGAGCAAATTGCCAAAAACATTCGCGGCGAAAACCCCGAGGTGCCAGTCTCAATCATCGCCCGGTACCCGCTGCTTGACCCGTACGTGAAGTTCCTGTCTGACTTCCACGTTTACTGCGCCGTCATTCTCCTTGCGATCGTCATGGTACAGATGCTGCGCAAGGTCAAGGGCGACTCCTTCCACGTCGCTCTGGGCCGAATCCTCTCCTACCTGATCGCCCCGCACTATGTCTTCATCGGTCTGCCCGCGCCGCGCCCGCGCCGTGTTTACACGTAGAGAGTTCAGCCCATCCCGCGCGCTCCTCAGGCTGCTTGCTCAACTACCACGCAATCATGCTCGACGTCACCGACTGGAAGCTGGCGCCGCCGGCTTCCGACTGGCGGCTGCAGGTCTCCTACATCATCCCGTTCGCCATCAACACACTCGTGGCGATGTGCATGGGATTCTGGCTCTGCCGGTACAGATTTATGCCGCCGTGGACGGCGACGCCGCTTAAATACCTCTCGCTCTTCTCGGTCTCCTTCTGGCTCACGGTCGGCGTATACCAGACCGGCTCGCAAGCCTTCGGGCTCGGACTCGGAGCCTTTGGCCTGCCTCCCGAGAAGGCCGTGCCCGGCGGCACCACCGACAGCCAGGACTTCTTCAAGGACATCAACCTCATCGTGCTAGCCGTGGGCACTATGCAGGCGGGCCAGGATTTTGTCGCGTATAAGTGCCTGTGCCTCGTCGAGGCGAGCGGGACCAAGGAGCTCGCGTGGAAGGATCTCCACAAGTGGGCGATGATCGACCTCGCGTACCAGGCGTCGTCCTCGCGCTCTGCCCCGCCTTTCCCCCTCGCACCCATCCTCGCACCCACCAGCGACCCGTGACACCCCCCGCATCTAGGCGGGCGTCATCTTTGCCCTCTTCCTCGCCTTCTTCCCGTACTGCCTCTTCGGCCTGCCCGACTGGACGTGCATCGAGTCACCCTTCTTCGCGGCGCCGCTGATCAGCGTCTTCCTCGTCCCCGTCATGCTGCAGGCAAGCTGGATCGCCTCCTTCCTCAAGGCGCTCTTTGGCGGCGACATTGCGAAGTTCTCGAAGAACAACCACAAGTGGGACAAGCCGGCCGGCAAGACGGAGTGACGACGCTCGACTCTGGCGCATGGAGAGAGAAAGCACACTTGCCACCGTGCATTCTGGTTACGAGCCGCGCGCTCCGATTTTGTTGGGTGTGTCGGTGGTCTGTGTGTCTTGGTTTGTTCGGTCCGCGTTGAGGCCTCGCTACCGACGCGGACGACGCGGCCAAACCTCGGGCCGCGCCTGGCGAGGTACTTCCAGCCTGCTGTGTGGGGCAGTCTCGTTGACTCGGGGCACTTGTGGATCACTTGGAGTGCGGTCAGCAGCCTCACGCCCAGGGCCGGGGAGCTAAGAAGCGCATGCGCACTTGGAGCACTTGGAGTGCAGTCATTAGCCTCACATCCAGGGCCGGGGAGCTAAGAAGCGCACCCAGCGGGCCGGATGATCGGGATCGGGTTGCGGGCAAGAAAGCCCTAGCCCCGGGGGTGCGCGTTCGCAGGGAAAGGGCCGTAAAGCCCTTGGGGCCGCGGCAATTCTTCTTTCCCAGTACCGTGGCGTACCTGTGTCGAACCTGTGTAAAAGAAAGAAAGAAAACACACAACCCAAGGGAGGGATGGGAGAACGGCGCGCCGCCACCACACAGGGATTTTAAGGAGAGGAGTGTGATGCGTTAGCCGTCGCCCACCCTAGGGAGTCTGCCTCTTCCTATCTCTTTTCGCAGTCTCTCGCCGATTCTCGCTGCAACCTTCATGCCACCTCGCGGCCGTCCCATTCTCGTCGTTCTCTCCCTTGTCACTTCCTCCGTCGCGTCATTCTCTTCCGCC